CTGGGAATTGGCTGCAGCAGCGATTTTTTATTATTATTATCATTATTATATTTTCCTTCTTCCTCACCCGCCCCGTCACCTCCCTCCTTCCAAGTTTCTCCTCGCCGAGCAGCAAGTGCAAAGGGCCGAGAGCCCTGCGGGCAGCGCAGGACCCCGCTGCAGATGAGACTGGGTCTCGTTGCGGGGCGTCCGGGAGGGCTGCCGAACACGGGTCCCTGTAGCGGGTCAGAAGGGGACCAGAAAGCTGCCCCTCCAACGGGGGACCCCAGCCGAGCCCAGGCTGAAGAGTCTTAGCGTAGAAGAGGAGTTAAACCGCTTCTTATAAACCTGGGGAACACATTTAACCTTGACACTGCCTGACGCGGGATCAAAGCCTGATTTATCAGACCGGGCATATTTCAAGAAAATTACTATCTGTGTCCATAGCCGTACAAACGTTATTTATTGCGGTGGCTTTTTGTCATGGTGTCTTTTAACTGCCACTTAAATATATGTATTTTTTTGGAAATCAGGGCTCTAACGATTTTATGGTCGTATAAAATAATGAAAATACAAGAAAAGGACATTTTCTCCTGTTTGATCCCTTCAAAAGACACCTATAGTAGTTTGGATTTTATAAAAGGTACCTTTCGAAGCATTTCAGGACTAATAGAGACCATCTGGATACAGATGATGATGTAATTTAATTTTTGTCAAGGTTTCTTTTTTTTTTTTTTTCCTAAGTGCTGCACGGAGCTGCAATAGCGGGGTTTGGGGTTCTCCTGAATGCTTCACGTTATTAAAAAACACAGCATCGGAGACTAATTTACCAGGATTTTCTCCAGCAAGGCAGAGGCAGCTGCGGCTCCCCCCCCCCCCCCCCGCGCCCCGGGCCCCCCCCCCCCCCCCGCCCGGCGGACCGGGGAGGGGGTGGCCTCTGTACCGGATTCGCTTAAATATCGAAAAACTGCACCCCCATCACCACCACTAGTCCCGTCCCTGGTGCGCGGGCAGCGCGAGTGTGGCCGCCGGCACCCCGAGGCGATGCTCTCCATCGGCCGCGGCGTGGCCGCCTGGACGGCCGAGTGCCAGCACCAGTTCCGCCGGCACCGCTGGGACTGCAACGCCCTGGAGCGGGGCCAGCGCCTGCTCGGCCGCGTCCTGCTGCGCAGTGAGTCCCGCGGGGCGGGGCGGGGGCTGAGGGGACAAGGGGGTTTAGCGGGTGGGCGTAAGGGTCGAAGGGGCTTTTGGGGACGGTCAGCGCCCGGGCGCGGTCGGTGCCGCCGGGAGAGCAACGGCAAGCGGTGGCCCTCCCGTTACCCCTGGCCTAGCAGCGGTGCAGCTTCGGTTTACGTCTCAGGAGGAAGGGAAGGGGAAATGCAAAATTATCCTAGAGTCTCACCGTCAGCAGAACAGCACATACGATAACGGGAAGTGCTGCTTTGCTTACAAACCTGTATCAGAGCAGAGGGACATGGGCAAGGTTCAGAAAGGGGAGTTGGGCCTATTAGGGGCTGGCCCCGCAGTTCCCAACTGCTTCTTTTTTCATTGTGTAATGGACCCCCAAATTAAGGGCTATAAAGAAATCGAGGTGCCAGAATGCAGCAGTTGGGCAGAGGGCTTTCCAGCACAGCCCACCCTGCCTGGGGAGAACAGCACTCTGGGGGGGCTGAACGGGGCAGCCCGTGTCCAAACAGGATCCCAGTGCTTTGGGATGGCAGCCGACAGCTGGTTCCCGCTGGAGCATTCCCTGGGGAAGCTCAGCAGCAGGGTGCAGTCCCACCAGCGCCGTGCTGCCAGTGAGTTGCGGGGTCTGCGCCTGTGCCCAGCAGTGCTGCCCTCCAGGCCCTCAGCCCTCTGCGGGGGCTGCAACAGCCGGTCCCTCGGATCAGGCTCCGGGGACACATCTGATAGGGGTGAGCCAGGCTTGTGCAGACCCCGAGCAGCTGAGGACTACAGTGTGCTTCCCACCCTGAGGGAGGACACTGAAGCAGGGTGTTGTTGCCATCTAAATGCTGGACCGAAGGCATCTAGTGAGTCTTCAGACAGCTTGTATGGTCCTTTTGACTCAAAGAAAGGGCTGAGACCTGGTACTGTGCCGGGGTGTCCCTATCCAAGTGATAAACGTGCTGAGATTCTTCTAAACTGCAGCTCTTTTCACCAAATGCCACACCTGGGCCGTGGCACACAGCTGGTGGGGCTGGCCCTGCCCTGGCCCTTGTGTCCCTGCGATGTCCCTGGCGCTGTTGGGGACAGCCTCTCCGGGCTGTGAGCAGCGTGGCACCTGCAGGGAGAAGAGGAGGAAGGTACCCCGGGGCCATTGCCCCAGCGGTGGGGATGGGGAGGAGGACAGGAGCCCCTGGGCGTGCTGACCCAAGCAGTGGGATTTCATCCACGGAGCATCATTCGGTGCCAGGCTCCGCTGCTGGTAAGCGGTCGGTTATCGTAAGCAGCCTCGTGTTCCCTTAGCAATTATTTGTGAGTAACCAGTAACGTCACCCATCAGCTGAAGTTCTTGATGAAGTTCGTCTGACATTCAGGAAAACACGTCTGGCAGAACATGGCCTAATTCTGATGAGGCTATTTCATTAAAAAAAAAATGTAATTTTTCCAAAAGTAAAGTTTTCACTGTTGGCTCATCGGCGAGAATTAAGGCGTCAGGCTTCTGAGCTCTACGCTGAGCCTGATCAGGCAGTGATTGCAATGGGAAATGTAGCTTGATATTGCTCTAATTCGAAATGAAATGTTTTTGATTAGTTTAATAAACTCAAATTAAACACTTCTCTTCCAGCGACATCAAATGTTTCTTTTTAATTAACGCTTTAAAAAGTTTTGCTGTTTCTGAATACATTTTCTCAGAAATCAGTCTTCAGAAGAGCAGGATTTGTAACAAGCC